ACTATAAGCCATAGTCTAGTAAGTAAACTTATTGGTTCACCAAGCTGAACTTGGATGGCATTGTTCCTTTAGTCTATGGTTGGTGCCCTATCTTCAATGAATCAACATTGTTTCATGTCTTCCTGGGAAAAGTAACACAGCACATCCATGCATTGCCAGCTATAATTAGGCAACCATATTTTAGTGAGTTAAAGCATTGGAAGAGTTTCTCGTTCTCACTCACTCAGTGGAACCACCCAAGCTGGAGAATCTGCTAGCACACATGCATAGTTCCTCCTGCGGTCTGTCTAGACTTTCCATCTTTCCTCCTTATACTCAGAAATCGTCCTTGGCAGAGCATACTGGGAGTCTTCTCTTTCTTTGGCTTTTATTCGAGTTTGTCAAGGAGGAGGCTAATGAGAGGCACTGGAAGAATGCCAGAAAACAAATCCTTTCTCCTGCTAGCACTCAGTTCTCTATAGTAAAAGCCTTAGTTAGAGCTCCTTTCTCGGCACGGCACGTTTACCCCTCAGACCTCTGGGTGGCGAAAGCCCTTGCTGTTGCCAGCCAAGACAGCGTCACTCTTTCTGCTCTCCTTATCCCTGCTCACACTACTAGAAACCATTCCTTTGTTACACTCTTTACAAGTACGCCAGGTGGGTATCATCAATTTCTTTCTGGAATCCTGACCTGCACATTCATTTTCAGAGGATCTATTAAGGGCCAGAGAACATGTAAAAATAAATTAGAAATTGATTGTGTTCTCAAAACAACTTACAATCTGGTGAAGGCGATAACTGTGGCTCATCAGACATCATTGGTTGACTAATGTCTGCTTAGATATAATTGAGAAGGAGTAGTATTGTCACACAAAGGCTGGGTTAAGGAGAGGTCGAAAATTCCAATAGATGACTTGTTTTCTATATATTTCTTTGAAGTAATTTGTTTATATATGGTGAAATGAAACTGTATTCAGAAACATTTTAACACGGTTTCCTAAAACATCTACCTTGCTGCAATTTATGTATATAAAATGTGATGCTCTGAAATAATAATTAAAGATTATGTACCCATAAACATAATAATTATTTCACAGACATGCAGGTTGTAGGAAAAGTTCTTGATTTTCTTCTATATTTATTTGTTAAATTTCTACATATAAATCCTACAAAGACTAAAACATTCTCCCATGGAATTTAAAGCTAGTGTTAATGGAACCATTAAACATACATTTTTAATTATTTGATGGGGATAAATCAGATTTGAGCAACAGCTTAATTATAACAATGGCTAGGTTTTAGCAGTAGGCCTTAATGTAGATGGATACTACATAATGCTGCTTATTTAATTTCAAGTTCTGTTCAATAAACTGGAAATGGTAACACTTTCACACAAAAAGTTTATTTTGATTTTCAAACGTCAGATGTATTAGCAAGTGTACAAAGCACACTTTTATCTTTTTCTTTCTTTTTATTTATGAACAGTGCAGAATACAATATTATGCCCATTTAGAAAGAGGAAAAAATATTATGAGTAAATGACTCAACATGTCCATAATCTCAGGGGCACCTGTTCTTGATGAATACTTTCAAAATGTTAAAAATGCAAATCAACACTTAGATCTTGTTAAGGCAAATGGCTCTGTATTTAAGAACACTTTATGTTCCTGCAGAGGACCCAAGTTCAGTTCCCAGAAGCTATACAGCAGCTAACAGCCATTGTAACTCCAGTTCTAGGAGTTCTAATGCCTTTTTCTGGCCCCTCAGGCAATGCATGCATGTAGTGCACAAAAGCACACCCGTGCATATGAAATAAAAACAAATGAATCTTGTGAATATATAAACAACACGCAAGATAATAAAAGGAGATAGCACTTACCCTTTAGAAAATCTATGTGTGGAAATTATAGACAGGTTACAAAGTAGGACTATTTCTCTAAAGATACATATTTTTAGATAACTAGTGAGACTATCTAGAATTGTTTAGTTTAATTCAAATTTAACAGATATTTCTACATAAATATCTTCATGCTTGCTTCAGAACATCCTAGCTTTCTTTTATCATAACAGATTTGTAATTCCCACTACATTTCAATGTAAACTGATGTGATTAGTAAAGATATATTGTGAATTATCAAATATTTAAATTGTATTACTGGAAGCCTTTTTGTTTTCAGGATTGAGGTTTTAGGGGAAAGCTCAGTCTTAGGCAAGGCTTCCTCAGATCAAGCTGGACGGTATGTGAACTTGGCAAAGAACGGGGGCTTATCATTTGCATTAGTTGTTCTGAAAAATCAATAAGTAGATTGTCTAATTGTCTAAGAACAGATGTGAGATCTGAATTTTGCCTGTCTCAGTGGCATGACTTTCAAAAGGGAACAAATATAAATAAGTCTCAGTAAAAAATATGCATTGTGTCGATAAATCTGAATTCATAAAGTACACACAAAGCTTTGAACTGTATGGCTTCAAGTGATAGATTAGCAGTACAGACATACAGTAAAGCACTTAGCATGAAAACTACCCAGTGCAAAATGGGGCAGAAACACATTAAACATTCTTATCAACCTCAAGTCCAAATGGATTACAATTTAGAACATATGCACAATCAGTTATGCAAAATGGACACAACGATTTCTCCAATAATTTTGAACTATTTGGGGAATAGTTTATCCTTATATTTTTTGAATATGTTAAATGGGGAGAAATGAGAAAGAAAATATTTCAATAATTTACTTTTGTTTGTTTGGCTAGAATAGCAAATCATGAAACCTTCACTGAACCTAATTAGCTCCTCTACACTAGGATTGCAAATCTCTTGGATTCAGGACCCGCTGACCAGATGGTGCAGTGTATCATAATGCATCTAAATAGAGGCTGGAGTTCAGGTCTGAGGCCACAGGACGCCAGGGCAGAATGCACAGTGAAAGTGATACATTCAACTCTAAGGCCAGGGCTGGCAATGGATGCGCTACTCTCTGCCAAGGGGCAAGCCAAAGCCATCTTCCTGAAGCCTGAGGCTCTAGCTAAGTATATGGCTGCTGACTCTGCTTTTTACCTGTGAGGACCTGAGGAGACGTGACCATAAGAGGTCATGAAGACAAAACACGTGAGGAAGGGTAGAAAACTGTCTCCAAATGATCTGTATTTGGCTGTGCAAGAAGATAGGCCTGTCCCCTAAAATACCTTGTATACCAAGGACTCTTCACAGAAAATCTTCTTTTGTTCTTAATTAATGAGAGTGATTGGTTCACAATCTGCCTTATGACTATGCCTGACGGAGCTTAATGGAAGAAAAGCTTAATTGCAAAAAAGCAAAGGAAGAAATTCATTAGAGAAGGCTTGAAACCCAAAAATTATAGGCAAAGCAGGCTACCCAAATGGAAATTGAGCCATTTAAGTTGTCTTAATTAGATTTAAAACCAGAGCTTAGAGAAACTAAATTAGCTCTATTGAATCAGATTAAGAAAAAATCTTAGATAAAATGCGTAGTTATTATTGGATTACTCAAGGTAGTCGGAATGGTTTTGTCCTGATGGTTCTAAACCCGGCCTTTGTGAGGAGTTCCAGCAAAACAACAAAGGAGGTAGTTAGCATGACCTTTTAACAGCATGGCTTTTATTCCTATCCTTACAGTAAGATGTTTTAAAGGCTGCTCTCCTGCCAAGTGTCTTAAAGAAATGCAAAGAGAGATAAGCAAAGAGAAGATTAATTTCAGTTTTGTTGGAAAGAAAAAAAACAAAAGAAAACAAAGACTCCCATTTATTTTTCATCTGAGAGTTAGAAATTCACACGAGATGGCTGTGATGTGTTCCCAGCGATGATAACCCTGTTAAGGAGATAGCCACTCAAGCAGTCAGCACACCGTTGTGTTTACAAGGTAAGTGTGAGGATTAGAGCTAAGAATGAAGGGGGAAGAAGAGGAAAGACGGCATCCAGCCTTGTAGGGAAGTACAATCCTAAAGCCCGCCTCCTGTCAGTCACAAGTATTAGGCATGAGGGCTCTGCCACAGTGCTGATGGGGTATCTTAGAAGAGCATGCATAAGCTCTCTGTCAATTGTCTAATAGCATCACGATAATAGGAAACAAAAACAAAGGCTCAAAATGTAAATTATACATTGCAACAAGCACTGTAAAATGTCTAGAGCCACTAGCGATGACTGCAGGGACATGTGATGGGGGTTGGGGGCGGTCACCGAGGAAGTGGTATCTAAAATGACATCTGAAGCTGGAAGGAGGAGCAGCCAATCCGTGACAAGGAAAGAATAGCCCAGGCTGAGGAAGCAATCAAAGAAGATGCAGTCAGTCAGGGGACAGGAGAAGGTGAAGAGAGATGCCTAGAGTAAGAGAGAGGGACCAGTTCATGTGGACCAGCCAAGACTGTTGGTTCCACACTAAGACATAGGACTCTAGTGCCGTGTGGAGTCCTTGGGGGGAATTAAAAAGAAAGATGAGCAGACTGGCACTGGATTCAAATGTTTGCATGTATGTGCGTGAGGGGAAGAGATGGAGGGAGGAGAAGAGAAGGGAGAAAAGAACACAGGCCATGGCATGCTCGGGGAGGTGAGTGGAAAACTGTCAGAGGTCAGTTCTGTCCTTCCACTGGGTCTCCTGGGGTCACGCGTGGTGGTCAGGCTTACAGAGCAAACACAGTTGCCTGTGAAGCCATCTCGCCAGCCCTAGACTGACATTTTACAAAAGATCGCTCTCACTACGGAGACAGCAGCGGAAAGAGAAGCCTTTGGATTCCCAGTGCTTGCTGGGTCCTTTACTCATTGAGTATTCATATTGGGAAACATTTTTTTCAGCATCTCTTGTTTGCCATTTTCACTGAGCAAGAAAGAAATGCAAAGATCAATAAGGCTTGGAGTTTGCTTTCAAGAAATGTAACACATTGGTAAATAAATATGATTTATCAGAGACAAATGTTTGTTTATAGGTGTGTGCAACATGCTAAGGAGATGAGGGGGAAACTTCACAGGGTAAACACAGGCAGCAGCAATTAAAAAATATTGCAGGACCCAAAGAATACAGAATGGGAGAGAAACAAAGGAAGCCTGGTGATCCTAACGCCAGAGTGGAAGGAGGTGGATTGTGACAAATGGCTGGGAACATGCTACATGCCAAGGCCTTCAACTCAGTCATGTGGGTAAGAGGTTTACTGTGAAGTCACAGAGCTCCATTATATACTGACCTAGGAAAATGTAAGAGTCCCTGTGCTTAGACAATTGGAACAAGAGCCCACAGAAAAAGAAGCCATGGAGCCACAGGTACTATTTTTTTTCTATTTCCTCATTTTGTCTGGGGAGTAGATGCCCTTCTGTGTCAGTCCCCATCATCTGGAAATGATTGGAAACTGCACCTTAACAACAGTCCCTCGATCCTAGAGCCGGGAGCTGGACGCAGGAGGCTGGCATCCAACCCAACCTTCTTCTCCCTGCTCTCCTCCATTCCCTGTCCCATCACTTACTCTCACATCCGTCCCCTCAGCACCTGGCACAGTGCTTAGAAAGAAGGCCATGTTGAATTAATGTAATGTTCAATCCTGAGAAAGATAATGGGGGACTGAAAATACATGTCAGTTATTTGTTTTTGTTACCTTTGGAGAGAATTTTGAAAAGTACCAGCAGCAGCCCCCACTTTTCAGTTTCTGACTTAAATTTAGGCTGGTATAATCACAGGTATTTCTAAAAATCCCAGGGTGGTTCTACTGCAGGGAATTATTACCCAACTGTTAATGCCTTAGGGACCTGTCAAAAATATAACTTTTTAACTCTTTCAAATTACCGTATTTTATTAGATAATTTCTACTTGTCTTTGTCTGCCCAAGTGCATTTTGTTGTTGTTGATGACGATGAGGTTTTTCTTTTAGTTTCATGTAATTTCTTCCTCGAAGGCCCTGGAGTATGCGGTGCACTGGAGCTTGACAATTGTCAAATACTTCATCCCAAACTTCTGCCTCCCTCTTGATTCTGTGGGGATGTCCCTCTAAAATTCTTACGTTGAAACAGAACCACCAATATAGTAATGTTATCACCTGGAACACTTAGGAGGTGGCTGGGTTATGAGGACAGGCTCTACTATCACATAAGGGTCATGATCTTCATAACAGAGACCTCAGTGATGTGCCTTAACCTCTTTCCACCATGGGAAGCAGTACTACCTAGGAACAGCAATCAGAAACCACTAACCGTGTCTGCTGGCAGCTTAATTTAAGACTCCCCTGCCTCTGTAACTGAGAGGAATACCTTTTGTTGTTTATAAACCACCCAGATTATGGATTCTATCATTGTGGCCAGAACAGGTACACATTGTCCTGAGTAAACGTTCTATAAATTAATACCATAACAAAGAGATTTGTGATCATAGCTTCACCTGATAGTAATATAGTCCTGATGATAAAATATATACAATCTTCCATCCTAATCATTTAACTTCAAGAAATCTGAGCACCCAAATAGCAAAGGGATTTGTCCTAGACAATGTAGGTAGTTATTTCTTAAACACATGTGTCTGAAACTAACTCCAGGATCCTTCCTGCTTTGGTTCATAGGTCCTCTCAAACTCTTGATTTTATCCCTTTGGTAGGACTATTTCCTTCCATTGTTAGAAAACTTTACTCATATCTTCTTTTCACTTGGAAGTAAGCAAGCACACAGGTGTTTGTAATACATTAGCTGTTGTTCAAATCCCTGTGACCAAAATTACCATTTCTGTTACTGACCCAGCATCTCCAGTTACCATCTGAAATAACCAAGTCGGACAATTAAAACTGCTGAGTCGCCAAGTCCTGCTGGCCTTTGAGATTTGAGTCTTCAGTGGCACCACTGTTACTATTGGAGCTGAAGGTCTCTTCAGGCTAATGTCTAGAACTAAAGCTCATTCCGTATCTTTCCGATGTCCCCTTTATTCAGTCCTTCACCTTTATCACAGCTAACAGACTCTTACATGCATCATATCCTCAAACATGGCATTGCTCTATCATTTACAACGTGGGTACCCAAACAGTCCATGTGTCATCAATATTCAAGAAATGTTTGTCAAATTATAATTATTTTTAAATAAACTAGACTCAGTTTGATAAACTACATTTTCAGGGTGATTTCATTAAAATTTAGGAAATCTTAGACTCACATAATAGATTTATTAAAAAAAAACTCCTTAAAATATACAAAATGAATAGAGAAAAGCTGTGGGATTATTCATACAGAGCAACCAGCTTTCTTTTTTATTTTTATACTTCCATTTTATTTTCTGTTTTAAATACATTTATCTTAGCCTGAGTGCAATATATGTACTTATTTGAAAAAAACAATAATATGAAAGGCATGAAAAGAAAGATGAAATGCCATACCTTTCTCTAGCTAATCACTGATTATAATCTGATGTGACAATGCAACACACTCCCAGACAAAACACAGCAAGCTGTTTGGTGGCCACTGACAAAGTGATTCTGAAGTTGTCCTGGGGAAGCAAAACAACCAGAACTATACCACAATGGAGGAGAAGAAAGTCAAGTGCTTCCTCACTTCCAGACTCATTACAGGATGACAGCAATCAAGACGCCATGATATTGGGGGAAAAAAAAACCAAAAACACCAACCAGACAAATCTAACAGGGCAGGACAGACAGACCAAACCATAAATAGGCCCACACATAAACAGTCAGCTGGTCTTTGACAGAAGAAATTAATTAAGCGGTGAAAGGAAAACGTTCTTTAAAATGGCAGTGCAGAGTGGAGGACAAAGAGAAAAAATAAAGATGGTTCTAGAACAATGAGGCTTTAAATTCTCTTTTAAAAAACATGAATTGAGACTCATTTGATAAGCCCTTCTCAAAAAGTAACTCAACGTTATGAAACCCTAAAAGGTAACCGAAGAAAATGTAAATGACCTTGGAAATGGTGATGGCTTTTAGAAAAAAGAAATCAAAATTTCCACTGAAAGAAATAATCGATAACTTGGATGTCATTAAAATTTAAAACTTCTGCTTTGCAAGTTAATGTGAAGGGAATGAAAACATGAAACACACACTGGGAAAAAGTATTTGCAAAATAAATCTCTAATAAATATTATTTTCCAGAAAATACAAAGAAACTCCTAAAATTCTATATAGAAAACAAATCACCTGCTTAAAAATAAGCAAAAAAAAAAAAAAGTGAGCAGAAACCTCATTGATAAGAAGACTAAATGATGAACAGCAAATGCAATGGCGTCTCCGCAGACAAGTCTCACGTCAACACAAACTAGTGTTATCCGACAAGAGGAGCCTCACTTGGAAGTCACCTCCGTAAGATCCGGTTGTAAGCAAGCCTAGAGGGCCTTCTCTCTGAGTGACTGCTGGGGGAGGGTCCAGCCTATGGTGGGTGGTGCCATCCCTGGGCAGGTGGTCCTGGGTTCTATAAGAAGACAGGTTGAGCAAGCCATGAAGCACAAGCAAGTAAGTAGCACTCCTCCATGGCCTCTGCATCAGCCTCCAACTTCCTTCCTGCCCTGCCCCGACTCCCTCTGATGAGGAACTATGGAAGTATAAAGAAAATAAACCCTTTCCTCTTGGTTTTGTCTCAGCCACAGTAACCTTAACTAGTACAGAAAGTGGCACCAGGATCTTGGGGTATTTACTTGATAGAGTTGACTGTTGTTTTGGGGAGGACTGCAGAAGGACTTCGGAACTTTGGGCTAGAAAAGTCATTGAGGTTTGTGAGCTCAAGTGGCCTATTTTGTAGGAACGTAGAAGACAATACTGAGAACAGACAGATGGTGGAAGTCTATCTTGTGAATTTCAGAGGAAAGTTTGAAGACTCTTTTGGGACCATTTGTTGTTCTTGAATGACGAATTGGAGGGTCTGGTCTTCAGCTGGGGCTGAAGAACCATCTGTGATTAATAGGAAAATAGGATCACTGAAGTGAAACCTTTGCTTTACTGGGACAAGTGATGCTGGTTAGCTGGAGATCAGAAATTAGTGATGCTTAAGAAGAAGTCAGCATCACCGAGGCACAATCTTTTTGGAATTGTTTCCTCCGGGAACACACAGAAGCTGTTCTAGAGGTGGCCAGGGTTGAACCTCATGCTTGCAGCTGAGTACAGTAATGTGTAAGAGTCTCCCAGGTGGTACTGGTTTTGAAGGCATCATGGAAAGTAGCTGAGGCTTGGCTGAGAAAGCACAGTAAGCACACTCCTTCATGGCCTCTGCATCAGCTCCTGCCCCCAGGTTCCTGTTCTTTTTGAGTTCCTGCCCTGACTTCCTTCAATGATGAATTATGTAAGTATAAGCAAAATAAACCCAGTGTTCCATCACAGCAATAGTAATACCAAGACAGGACTCAACATTGCATGTCATTAAGGAAGTGCCAAATATAACCAATGAGCTCCCACTACACGCCTATTAGAATGGCCACAATTCAAAATACTGGCGGTGCCAAACTCTAGTAGGGGGTGCCTCACATGTATCTGGGAACCCAACACAGCATATCCATTTTAAAAGAAAGCTTGTCATTTTCCTACCAACACTAAACACACCGCTTACATTATATCATCTCAAAGATGTGCTCCCTGGTATTTACTAACTGAATGAAAAACGTTAAGTCCACACCAAAGCCTGCTTGCAACATTTTGAGGCTTTGTTCACAATTATTAAAGTTTGAGAGTACCCAAGATGTCTATCAATAGAAGTAGATAAATCATGGAATATCCAGATCATTCAAAGAAATTAGCTACCAAGCCATGAAAATGCGTATAGAAACATCAAATATGTTCTATCAAGTATCCATCTGATAAGGCTATATAGCATATGATTATAGCTATATGACCTTCTGGAAAAGGAAAATATATTGAGATGCATAAAAGATTGGCAGATTCCAGGTATTAGGAGAGGCAGAGGGTTAAAAAAGAAAAGTCCAGAGAATTTTTAGGTCCGTGAAGTACTCTATGTGATAGTTCAGTGGGGGCTACATGGCAGGCACTTTTCAGACCGGTAGAATGCACAGCACTGAGAGTGAATCCCAATGTGAACCGTGACTTTGACTAGATGATGCATGGCTGCATGTCCATCAGTCTCATTCTGGTATAGGATGTGAAGAGTGGGAGGGAGGCTATAAACACATGGGGACAGGCAGTATATGAAAACTCTGTACTTAACTGTTTAATGCTGTGAGTTTAATGACGGTTAGTAATTGAAGAATATATTAATGTTTATCTGACCTCTTGGTGGGAATTAATTTAGTCATCAATGAAAAAGAAATCTCAACAGTAAAACTACCAAGGGATTTG